GGAAAGCACACTCCTGCCTCTGGGCTCTTGGCATTTGCTGTTCCTTCTGTGTGAGACACTTTCCCCAGATAGCCATGTGACTCACTCCCCACCTCCTCTGGATCTTTGATCAAATGGTACCTGTATAAGTCAGCTCAGACTGCCATAACAAAATACCATAGACTGGGTGGCTTAAACATCAGAAATTTATTTTCTCACAGTTCTAGAGGCTGGGAAGTCCAAGATCAAGGTGCTAGCAAATTCAGTTTCTGGGGAGGGCTCTTTTCCTGGCTTGCAGAGGGCCACCTTCTCACTGTGTGCTCACATGGTTAAGAAAGAGAGAGAATAAGGACACTAGTCCCCTCACAAGGGCTCCACCCTCACGACCTCACTAAACCTAATCATCTTCCAAAAGTCACATCTCCAAATGCCATCACATTTGGGGTTAAAGCTTCAGCATGTGAACTTTGGGGAGGTCACAACTCAGTTTAGTCTATAGCAATACCCTGATATAGGTCTTCTCTGGCCACCCTACCAAAATAAAAGTTCTTCCTGCTCATCACTTTTTATTCTGATCACATGTTTTTAAATGATCGTCAAAGCATTTATTTCCTCCTGACATTATTTGTGCCTTTCTGTTAACCCAGTATAGTATAAGGCCCTGAATGTCAGGGATGGTATCTATTTTTATTTACTGCTTATCTCCAGCTCCCAGAATGGAGCAAGGCATACAGACACTCCATATATATTTGTTGAATCAGTAAATTAAAATGTTCATCATACATGCATTGCTAAATTATGTGAACAATAAAAAATTAGGAAATAGCACAAATCTCCAACAATGGGGTTAAATAAATTAAGACAGAGGCACACAATGGAATGCCATGCCACTATTAAAACAGTGTATTCAAATATTTAGTGACATGGAGTCAGGCACACCTGTCTGTAATCCAGCACTTATGGAAGCTGAGGCGGGAGGATCACTTGAGGCCAGGAGTTTGAGACCAGCCTGGGAACCATAGCAAGACTCCATTTCTATCAAAAAAAATTAAAAATCAGCCAACCATGGTGGGGCATACCTACAGTCCTAGTTACTTGGGAGGCTGAGGTAGGAGAATTACTTGAGCCCAGGTATTCAAGGATACAGTGAGCTAATTGTACCACTGCACTCCAGCCTGGGAGACAGAGCAAAACCTTGTCTCTGAAAAAAATAATTGAGTAACACGGGGAAATGTTTACATTACCTTATTAAGTTAAAACAATACTAAAAATGTATACCAAAAATACATAAAATCTAAATTTTGTAAAAAATAAATTATTTATGTAGAAAAGGGGTAGTTGATCAAATAGAGAGGAGAGACTAAAAATATGTACACCAAAATGTTAAAAGTGAGTATCACTCAATGGTGGAATGCTAGGTGATTTTCATTTTCTTCTTTACTAAATGTTCATTATTTTATTATATTATTGATTTATTATTATTTTATAATAAATGTGTATTGTTTTTAATAATTACTAAAACTAATTTTTAACTTGCAAGTTAAAACTTGCAAGAGAGAATATGATTAGCCCACCCCTAGTCCGAGCACCTGTGGAGAAAGAAGTGAGGTCCCTTGGTACATAAAGTGATGTCTCTCAGGGACTATTGAGCTCAGTTCTCTAGGAAGGGATGAGTCGAGGAAGGATGGCTCTCAAGCCAGCGTGAACTGCAACAGCCACAGTGGGGAATGATGGGAAAGGCTTGCTATACAATGTCTAAGGTTTAGACCTGGCAGATACCAGAATGACCATTTCCAATGAAACCTGTTATTTCCTTTACTTAGAGATTATAAGAAGCCTGCAGTGTAGGCAGGAAAGGCCTTCGAGGTCACCCAGCCCAACCGCTTCATGTACCGCTGAAGAAATCAAAGCGGACGTCAAGTGGCCTGCCCTGTTCACAGCTGGTAGCAGGGCTGGACTCGGATCCGGGTTCTCTGCTCCGTGTCCAATGCTCTTTGCGCCACATCTGCTGCCTCCACTCTAATGCCAAGATGGACTGGAGCTTAAACACACTATGTGGGTCCAGAGTCAACAGTCAGGTCTGCTCCTCTTGGGAGTCTGCCTTTTTCCAACCTTCCTTGCCCAGCTCACAGGACTCACACCCAGAGCTGGTAGGCATTCTACAGAGACTCTCAGAGAGACCCTACTGCCACGGCCAGCCAGGTTTGCAGATCTTTTCTGGACATTGTCCAAGTCCTACAGTATTCATCTTGTTGCTTGGCTACAAAATGGATTCCTTTTTTCCTGACACAAAGATATCTCTGTTTCTGGAAAAAGATAAAGAACTTGCTTGGTTTACAAATGACAAAAAATAAGGTGAGAAGCCAACTCTTGGCCCCCAGGCCTCAGCTCATCCAGCCCAAGCTCAGACTTTTCTTCTCTAAGTCCCACAGTTTAGAGAAGTCCTTTATATCAGCTGCTCTGTACTGAGCAGTCTGGTCAACCACTTTTGTTACCACATCTATCTATATTAATGGGATGTAAGAGGAGTCATCTGTTGACAGGAGACAACAGTAATGTCCACACAGTCTGTCTTTCTTTTTTTTTCTTTTTTTTTTTGTCAGAATCTCACTCTTGCCCAGGATGGAGTATGGTGGCATGATCACAGCTCACCACAGCCTCAACTTCCTGGGCTCAGGCGATCCTTCCACCTCAGCCTCGCGAGTAGCTGGAACCACCATGCCTGTCTATTTTTATTTATGTATGTATTTATTTTGTAGAGGCAAGGTCTTGTTATGTTGTCTAAGCTGGTCTCAAACTCCTGGCCTCAAGCAGTCCTCCCACCTTGACCTCCCAAAGTGCTGAATTACAGGCATGAGTCACCATGCCCAGTGTCACATACAGTCTGCTTTTAAGGGCAGTAGGTACTTGAGATTGGGGAGAGATATAAGGAATATCTCTTACTGGAAGTCACAGTACCACACGTTTGAAAACTACTGTTATGATGATTCTGGGATGCCATTCTATAGGAAAACAGCCCGTGTGAAGGACTACTCCAGCAGAATGGCTTTACTTTTTAAAAATCTGAATCTAGTTGCATCTCATAAGAGAAAACCCTTTCAGGAACTATTTGGATTAAAAGCATTCTGACTACTCTGATTAAGTTCTGGCCACTACTTCAAGCAGCAGTGAATTTTTTTTTAAAGTAAAACTCAGGAGGTTGCCTTCCTGTTTTTGAAGAAATTGATTATCCTTTAACCTTTCTGCTATTGTTTCAAGTCCTATCCATGAAAAACTGGTGGGAACTGCTTACCTGTGATGCAGCCTGTTTCATTGCCCAGCGGTTCCCAAACAGGGGTGATTTTACCCCCAGGGAACATTTGGAAATGTCTGGAATCGTATTTTGGTTGTTACAAGTGAGCGTGGGCATAGAGCAAGAGTATGCTACTGGCATCTACGAGCAGAGACCAGGGACACTGTTAAACATTCTAAAACACACAGGACAACCCACAGCAGAGAATTATCCAGCACAAAATGTCAATAAAATCAGGGTCACAAAACCCTGGCTAGAAGGTTTTTCTGTAGTGGACATAAGTTCCTTAAATCTAAGAACAAAAATTTCCAAGGCTATCTTTTTACATGGAATTAGACCAGGGACTATATATCAGTCTCTTTTTACTTTTTACTCAGTTATTAAACTGGCTAAAAATCTAGCACTTCCTATGTCTTTTGCTTCATAATATCTTTATTCTAAAACAAATGTACTCATTCACTTTAAAAAGTTTTAATGAAAATTACAGTGCCTGTTTGATTAATGTTTTATAAGTTCCAGATACCTTTCTACATGACAGTTCTTTTTTTTTAATGTACCTTACTTTAAAAAACTTTTGAGATGACTTATATATATTCATTGTAGAAAACTTGAAAAATATTGTTTAAGAGATATTTTTTCATGGTAATTCCACCACCCAGGAGGAAACATTTTAGTGTTATTTGTATTTTTCAATGCATTTTTAAAATAGTTGAGATCATTCTATTCATACAATTTCATCTCCCCAAAGTGAATCTTTGTAAACTTTCAAACAGCTGCTTAGCACTTCATCATGTAATACTGAACCCTATATTACCTAAAAAATGTTGTTGTACACAGGTTATCAGTGCTTCACTATTATAATCTGTGATAAACATCTGTGTTTTCCATGTTGCTTTTTAACCTGAAGTGTTCTGGGAAAGATGGGATGTGGCTATTTCATGCCTAATTCATGACAGATGCAGAACAGGAAAGTCTCACGTACCAAATGCAGCAAAGGAGACACCATTCATTCTCAATCCAACTGAAGGGAAAGTTCTGGAACACCTGGTAATGTGGACTTATAACTTGGGTAGCCCATTCAAACCAGGTATCTGTATATATGCAGATATATGTAAGCAAATGAAAAAGGAAAAAAAGGGATAAACACCGAACTTTGAGCCATGGTGACTCTGGGATAGAGAACTGAGATTGTCTGGGAGTGGGGACAGGCAAAGAAGAAGCTTGAGATTTTTTTCCATTATTTTCTTCTGTATTGTTTGAATTATTTACTATGGGAATATATTCATATGTAATTTATGTAATATTTAAACACAATATACTTTAGAGAATGATTTGATCCCCATGGATTTATATCAGCAGATACTTTTACTTTTTTAACCAACCAATATGCTTAAATACATTACACATGATAGCTAGGATGAGCATGCCTGGAGATGGTGGTATGCTTTAAATAAAAAAGCTCTAACATGCATTTAGATGACAGACCTTAATAATTTGTTCTCCTCACAGTGTATTAGGTGTGACCCTTCTGCAACTACAGTCTGTGACATAGAAGACAAGGGTGGAAACACACAGTCTAGGGCCAGGAGCCTGAAGGTTTCAGGTTGATGGACTCATGTTACCCTTGATTCCTTTGCCGTTGCTTTAAGTGCTGATTTAGTGAATGTTTCTCCATGAAGCACCAACAGATGGTGAGACCGTTCTTGTTTCTTGTTCTTGTTTCTTTCAGGCCGTACACCCGGTCCCTGGCTCCAGGCCGAGGCAGCAGGGCAGAGCTCTGATGACATTAAAGGCAGAAATTCCCAGGTAACACATCCCTCACGTCTCTGAATGTAAAACCAGGAAATCTCCTCAGGGAGCACAAAAATGGAGGGAGTACACATTCTCATTAACAGCTCCACATTTCCTCAGGCTCCTTTTTTTCAAGGAAAGCCATTTAGAGTACCTTTGTTTTGAGTCAGAATGAAACACTCACAATTTCAAAATCTGAAGGGTGAAAAAAAGGGGTCTTTGCTGAAATCACCACCATATATAGAAGTAAGCTTAGCAACTCGGAACCCCTTTGGGATCATTCTGCAACAATCATCTTGATCACTCCCTATTTTTCCTTGGTTTTTATGGCCTGTGAGAAAAACAGTATAATTCTTATAAAAAATATTCAGTGTCTCTCTCACCTCTAGAATACATACATGATTTATTTCAGCACCCTTGGAGTTTTCCCCCGTTGATATGACAGTTGATTGTAGTTAAATGACCATAATTCAAATCCTGGTGGCTATAGGAAATTGACAAAGCTAGAAGGGAAGGCAGGTATTTCCTGTGTGATGAACCAGTCTGCAGAAACTCTCTTACTTGCCCAGGGCAACTTGAGTAGAAGAGTTTACTAACCTGGGCAGAGATGACATCTCCCACTGCACATGACAAGATCTCATCTTTAAAAGTTCTTTGTTTATTTGAAAACATGTATTCAGTCCAACTCTGGCTTCTTCCTGTTTCAGAGTTCTATGTGACAGACAACAAGGTGGCCTACTGTTAAACTAAGCCATTCTGAAGCTGTATGAATCAAGGAAAGTGATCTGAGAAGGAAGGGACTAGGTTCCTGGAAGCTAGGATGAGTTTCTCAGAGGAGGAGTTACTCCCTCTAGCTGACAAGCATTCCCCTTGTCTAACCATGGCTAATCCAAGAGTTGCAGTAACTATCTCAGATGATCACTAGTTCAAAACTGGGCGTATGACTGTAGTTAAGGAAGAAGTTTAAATACATAGGAAAAAAGAAGACAAAAGACTATACGAGTATACATAAACTTGTTAATAGGCAGAGAGGACTCTGAGAAGAGAAACAACCCTGCTCTCCAAATGTTGGGAATCTTTTCTCTGATCACTCGTTTGCACAGAAGTGCAAATAAAGAGGCTGCCATTGTTATACTTCTCCCATTATTGCAAGTCCCTCCTGCTTTGGCTGAAGTGACCTTCAGGGAATTAAAAGAACTGGTATCTTTTTTTATTCATCCTCCATTTTTTTCTCCCTTTTGGGAGCCCAACATTAAAGACTAGGACATTCAAACACAACTACATATATGGGGAAACTTAGAAAATAACCATGTATGCCCAGAGAAAGACACAGGCTCAGGAAAAAACTGAGACAACTTTAAGGTTACAACTCAGACCAATTTTTGGATCAGATACAGACAACAGCAATAGTTCTCCAGAACTACAGGAAAATGTGAAAAGATCAAGAAAATGGTATATGAAAAAATGGAAATAACAATAAAGAGAAAAAGAACAAAAGTAATTCTGCAGATGAAAAATACAACTGAAATGAAAAATTCACTAGAGGGAATAAAAGACAAATATTAGGAGACAGAAGAAAGAATCAGCAAATTTTAAGCTGTGACAATTGAAACTATTGAGTCTAAAACACAGAAAGGTTAAAAGTGAACAAAGACTGGGAGACTTGTGGAAGAACACCAAACAGAACAACATACTCACTGTGAGATTTCCAGAAAGAGAAGATAAAAGAAAGAGGAAGAAAACGGCTATTTGAAGATATGATAGCTGACAACTTCTCAAATTTGATAAAAGGCATAAAGATCTAATAAGTTCAACACAGTAAGTAAGATGAACTCAAGGAACCCACACTGAGACACACTAAAATCAAACTTTCAAAAGACAGAGATAAAGAGAGAATCTTAAAAGCAGCAAGAGAGATGTGACTTGTCACATACAAGGGATCATCAATAATATTACTGATAAGTTTCTCATAAAAACTTTAGAAGCCAGAAGGTAGTAGGTCATGTATTCAAAGGACTAAGAGAAAAATGCAAAACAAACAAACAACTTTCAACCAAGGATTCAATATCTGACAAATTATCCTTCAAAAGTGAAGAAGAAATTCAAATATTCACAGATAAACAAAATGAAAGATTAAATGAAAGGGCACCAGACAGTAACTTGAAGCTATACGAATAAATAAAGATCTCAATAAAAGTAAATACATGGGCAATTATAAAAGCTAATATTATAACAACAGTTTGTAACTGTACTTTTTATTTTTTACATGATTTAAAACACTTCTATCTAAAAATTATTAATCTAAAGGCGACTGTTAGTGTGACTTTAGTTTGTAACTACTTATTTAGTATTCTATATAATTTAAGAGACTAGTATTTTTAAAAGACTTCTTAGTTTATGTTTTGGAGCACACGGTATATAAAGATGTAATTCTGCACCAGCAACAATGAAAAGGGATGGAGATGGAGCTGTAAAGAAGCAGAGATTTGTTAATGTTACTGAATTTAAGATGCTATAAATTCAAATTATAGTGTTACAACTTTAAGATGTTAAATATAATCCCAGTAGGTTATGGCCTGACTATGGCCCAGTAGGTTGTGTCCCTCAAAATTCAAAGCTGAGACCTAATCTCCAATGTGATAGCATTAAGAGGTGGAACCTTTTGAGAGGTGATTAAGCCATGGAGCCCTCATGAATGAGATTAGTGCCCTTATAGAAGAAGCTAAAGGGATCTTGTTCACTCCTTCCGCCATATGAGAACACGGCTAGTATGAAGCAGTCAGAAACCCCTCACCAGATACTAAATCTTCTGGTGACTTGATCTTGGACTTTCCAGCCTATACAAATTTAAGAAATAAATTTCAGCTGGACTTGGTGGCTCAGCCTGTAATCCTGCACCTTTGGAAGGCTGAGGTGAGTGGATTGCCTGAGCCCGCGGGTTCGAGACCCGCCTGGGTAGGCGAGACCTCATTTCTACAATAAATCAAAAAATCAGCCAGGTGCGGTAGCGCTTGCCTGTAATTCCGGCTACTCGGAAGGCTGAGGCGGAAGGATCACCAGAGCCCAGCAGGCCCAGGCTGTGGTGGCCGGGAGCGGCCACTGCACTCCAGTCTGGGCGACAGAGTGAGACTCCAACTCAAAAAAAAAAAAAAGAAAGAAATTTCAGTTGTTTATAAATTACCCAGTTTAAGATATTTTGTTAAAACAGCCTGAATGGACTAAGACACCATAGTAACCACAAAGAAAGTAGCTATAGAATATACACAAAAGGAAATGAGAAAAAAATGTGAACATTTCACTATAAAAAGTCAACAAAACACAAAAGAAAGTAATACAGGAAATGAGGGACAAACACACTATACAGAAAACAAGTAGCAGCTTATGCCAGTAATCCCAGGACTTTGGGAGACCAAGACAAGAGGATTGCTTGAGGCCAGAAGTTTGAGACCAGCCTGGCCTGTAGAGCAATACCTCATCTCCACCAAAAAAAAAAAAAAAAAAAAAAGAAAGAAAGAAAAAAGAAGCAGCAAAATGACAGAGTAAATCCCTCCTTGTCAATAATTACTTTAAATATAAATGGATTAAACTCTTCAATAAAAAGACAAAGATTGACAGAGTGGATGAAAACACATGACCTAACTATATACTGTTTACAAGAAATTCACTTTGGATCAAAAGACACAACTAATTTGAAAGTGAAAAGATGGAAAAAGGTATTCCATGCAAATAATAACCAAAAGAAAATAGTGTAGCTACAATAATATCAGATAAAATAGATATTAAGTCAAAAAGTGTACAAGCGACAAGGAAGGACCTTATATATTAATAAGAAGTTCAATACAGTAAGAAGATGTAACAATTATAAATATTTATGCACTTAATAACAAACCAAAATATATGAAGCAAAAACTAACAAAATTGAAGAGAGAAAGAGACTGTTCTATGATAACTGGAGACTTCAATACCTCACTCTCAACAGTGAATGAAACAACCAGAGAGAAGATATAGAGTACAGTAAAACAACTAGAACTGAGCCGGGCTCAGTGGCTCAGCCTGTAATCCCAGCACTTTGGGAGGCTGAGGTGAGTGGATTGCCAGAGCCGGCGGGTGCATGATCCGCCTGGGCAACTTGGCGAGACCTCATCTCTACAATAAATCAAAAAATCAGCCGGGCGTGGTAGCGCATGCCTGTAGTTCCGGCTTCTCGGAAGGCTGAGGTGGAAGGATCGCCAGAGCCCAGCAGGTCGAGGCTGCAGTGGCTGGGAACGGCCACTGCACTCCAGTCTGGGCGACGGAGTGAAACTCCAACTCAAAAAAAAAACAAAAAAAAAACTACTAGAACTGACAGACATATATGATACACTCTACCCAACGACAGTATATACATGCTTCTCAAGTATATGTGGGACATTTTCCAAGATAGACCATATGGTAGGCGACAAATTAAATGTCACTAAATTTTAATTTCATTAAAAGAATATACATCAAACAAAATATCTTCCCCCACCTCAGTGGGATGAAGCTAGAAATGCAAAACAGAAGTAAAACTGGAATATTCATATGTGTGTGGAAATTAAACAGTATACTTGTAAACAACCAGTGGATCAAAAAAATCAGAAGAGAAATTTAAAAATACTTAAAGATGAATTAAAATGAAAATACAACATACCAAATCTAATGGAACACTGTGAAAATAATGCTAAGGGAAAAATTTATAGCTGTAAATGTTTACATTAATCATATCTGAAATCTAACTTTACAATTTAAAGAGTTAAAAAAGAAAAACAAACTAAACCCAAAGCTAGCAGAAGGAAGGGAATAAAGATTAGAGCAGAGATCAGTGAAACAGAGAATAGAAAAAGAACAGAGACCAGAGTACCATATGTTCTCATAAGTGAACCTTGAACAATTATAATACTATAAGAAAGGGATGGGCAGTAGTGGGAAACTGTCAAGGGCGGGGGAGTGAGATTGGCAGTTGAGGAAAACTGCTAGGGGAGAGAGGGCATACCTCATCAACAAGGGTACCTGCATAATCAACATTTGTATACCTAACCCTGAATTGTACCCCACATCTTTATAATAAATAAAATAAATAAATAAAATTTTTGTCTTGCAAAAAAAATTCCATGCATACATTTTATCATATATCCATCTAAAATTATTTTACTTTTTGTGCTAAAATCTAAGCCATTTTACTACTGATTAAAGTTAGCTCCTGTTAAAATTTAAAAAAAAAGAAAAGAAAGGAAAAGAACAGAGAAAGTCAATGAAACTAAAAGTTGGTTCTTTGAAAAGATCAACAAAATTGACAAACATTTAGCTAGATCAAATAAAAAATAGAGAAGGCTCAAACTGCAAAAATCAGAAATGAAAGCAAGAATATTACTACTGTTTCTACTGGAGGAAAAATAAAGGATTATGAGAGTACCATGAATGCCAAAAAATTGGATAACCTAGGTGAAATGGACAAATTCCTAGAAATACAAAACCTACCAACACTAAATCACAAAGACATAGAAAATTTGAATAGACATAACTAGTAAGGAGATTGAACCATGAATTTAAAAAAAAATTCTGGCCCAGTTTGGTGGCTCAGCCTGTAATCCCGCGCTTTGGGAGGCCGAGATGAGTGGATTGCCTGAGCCCGCGGGTTTGAGACCTGCCTGGGAAACTTGGCGAGACCTCATCTCTACAAGAAATCAAAAAATTAGCTGGGCATGGTAGTGCATGCCTGTAGTTCCAGCTACTTGGAAGGCTGAGTTGGAAGGATCGCTGGAGCCCAGCAGGTTGAGGCTGCGGTGACCGAGAGCGGCCACTGCACTCCAGTCTGGGCAACTGAGTGAAACTCAAACTTAATAAAAAAAATTTTTTTAAAAACCTGAAAAAGGAAAGTCCAGGACCTGAGGGCTTCACTGGTGAATTCTCCCAAACATTTAAAGAACTAACACCAATCCTTCTCAAACTTTTCCCTAAAAAATGAAAAGGAGAGAACACTTTTTAACTTATTCTATGAGACCAGCATTACCCTAATACCAAAGCCAAACAATGAAGCTCCAAGAAAAGAAAACTACAGACCACTATCCCTTATGAACATTGAGGTAAACATTTTCAGCATAATACTAGCAAACCAAACCCAGCAGCATATTTAAAGGATTGCACACCATGACCAAGTGGGACTTATCCCTGAAAGGCAAAGATAGTTCAATATACAAAAACTAATCAATATTACACTAACAGAATGAAGAAAAAAACCACATTATCATATCAACTGATGCAGAAAAAGCATTTGACTTAAACGCCCTTTCATGATACAGACGCTTTTAACAAACTAAGAATAGAAGGAAACTACCTCAACATAATAAAAGATACATATGAAAAAGCCACCATGAACATCATACTCAATGGTATGAAAGACTGAAAGCTTTTCCTCTGAGATCAGGAACAAGGCAAGGATATCCACTTTCACCACTTTTATTTAACCTAGTAGTAGAAGTTCCAGTCAGAGCAATTAGGCAAGAAAAAGAAATAAAAGACATCCAAATTGGAAAGGAAAAACTAAAATTATCTCTGTTTGCAGATTATATGACCTTATATGTAGAAAACTAAAGATTTCACCAAAAAATTTTTATAATAACTAATAAATGAATTCAGCAAAGTATTAGGACACAAAATCAACACAGAAAAATCAGTTGCATTTCTCTACACCAACAATGAACAATCTGAAAAGAAAATTACAGCAACAATTCCATTTACAATAGCATCAAAAAAAAAATTTAGCAATTAACCCAAGAGGTGAAAGATGTATACAATGAAAACTACAGAACATTGCGGAAATAAATTAAATAAGACATAAATACATACAAACACATCCTATGTTCATGAGTTAGAAGTCTTAATACTGTTAAGATATCAATACTACCCAAAGCAGTTTACAAATTCAGTATAATCAATGATATTTTTTGCAGAAATGGAAAAGCTCATCCTAAAATTCATATGGAATCTGAAGAGACCCCTTGAGATAGCCAAAACAATCTTGAATAAGAAGAATAAATGTGGATGACTCACATTTTTTATTTAAAACCTTACTGTAAAGCTATGGTAATCTAAACAGTGTGGTACTGGCACAAAGACAGACATACAGACTAATGGAATGGAATAAAGAGACTAGAAATAAACCCTTGCGTATATGGTCAAATGGTTTGTGACAAGGGTGCCAACCCCATTTAACAGTGAAAAGATAGTCTTCAACTAATGGTGCGGGGAAAACTGGATATCCACATGCAAAAAAGTGAAATTGGACCCTAACACTATATACAAAAATTAACTCACAATGGACCAAAGACCTAGATATAGGACCTAATACTATAAAACTCTTAGAAGAAAAAACAGGTCAAAAGCTCCAAGACATTGGATTTGGCAATGATTTATTGAATGTAACACCAAAGGCACAGGCAACAGAAGAAAAAAATAGACAAATTTGACTTATGAAACTTTTTTAAATGTTGTATCAAAACGTAGTATCAAGAGTAAAAAGACAACTCATAGCATGAGAAAATATTTGTATCATATATCTGATGAGATAATATCCAGAATATATAGAGAACTTCTAAAACTGAACAACAACAAACAAACAAATGCAAAAATAGGCAAAGGGCTTGAATAGACATTTCTCCAAGGAAGATCCATAACTGCTCAGTAAGCACATGAAAATATGCTCAACAGCATAGAAATGTAAATTAAACACACAATGAAACAGCCCCTCATCTACATCAGGATGGCTGCTATGAAAAGACAAAGCAAAATAACAAGGGTTGGCAAATATGTGGAGAAACTGGAACCCTTGTGCACTCTTGGTGAGAATGTGAAACAGTACAGCTACCGTGGAAAACAGTGAATAGAACGGCTCCTGAAAAACAGGACGGCAGTTCCTCAAAAAACTAAAACTAGAATTACCATATGTCTGGCCCTTCCACTCCTGGGTATATACCTAAAAGAATGAAAATCAGCGACTGGGAGAGATACTGATACTCCCATGTTCACAGAAGCATTATTTTACAATTGCTAAAACATAGAAGCAACTCAAGTGTCTACAGATGGATGAATGGATGAGCAAAATGTGATATATACATATACAATGGAATATTATTCAGCCTTAAAAAGGAAAGAAATTCTGACATATGCCATGACATGAATGAACCTTGAAGATATTATGCTAAGTGAGCTAAGCCAGTCACAAAAAGACAAACACTATATGCTTCCATTTATATCATGTACTTAGAGTTGTCAAAATCATAGAGACAGAAAGCAGAATAGTGGTTGTCATGGGTTAAGGGGAGGAGAAAAATGAGAGCTATTGTTTAATGGGTGTACAGAGTTTCAGTTTTGCAAGATGAAAAGAGTTACAGAGATGGATGGTGGGGATGTTTGCACAGTACTATGAATGTATTAATATCCCTGAACTGTCCACTTAAAAATTATTAAGATGGTACATCTTATATTACATGTATTTTACCACAGTAAAAGAATATTGGAGGAAAAAAACTGTTAATAGGCATTTGTTCTAGAAGGTTGTGACTGACTTTTACTTTCTTCTTTTGAATTTCTGCAATTTCCAAGATTTTTACAATGACTATACTATTCTTGTGATCAGAAAAACTAGAGTAATAGTCATAATCCTTTATAGTTCTAAGACTCTTTACATCTTTCAGTTAGCTTGCATATGTTGGCTCATTTGTTCCTTTTAATAACCCTGTGATGGAAACTGAGAGATACTTTTATGGCCTATTGCGCTCCAGAAGTTGAAGACCTTGCCCAATGTTATATGCCCAGACCTTCTGACTTCTCGTTCAGTGCTCCTTCCATATACTCACTGCCTTTCCTGGCATGTTAGAATCTCCGGAGACAAGAGTCGTCCTCACTATCAATGTGGCAAGGCTGTGTCGGACATTGTGCAGGTTCTGGTCCCCAGCATCATGACAAGAAGACACCTTAATCACCCAAGGCTGGTAGTTTTGATCTCTGCCCGTTAACAGTCTAGTCAAGGATGGATTGTCAAGTCTCTTTGGGCATTCCACAGTCAGGTTCTTCTTTATACCTTGCTAGGTATCATCTTAATTCATTTCATTGCACTGAGGCATAAAGCAGTCACCCAGAGAATTCACTGGGTTCTAGACATTGCAAGCAATACCCAAGGGGGTGCTCTCTTCTTTTATGGATATAGCAATCAGTGCATAGGTGGGAGGCCTGGACTGGAAGTCTGAGGCCTGGGTCTTTTTCTCTTTTTTCCATTGCCTTCAGTTGGGATCTCCAACAAGTTCTTTGCTTTCCCTGAGCTTCCTGTCAAGTGAATTGCTGAGGCTTGGTCCTATACATGTTGATAAGACAGCATTAGGTCCCCACATACCATTGAGTACAAATCCGATTTCATTCCTTTTTCCACCCATGACCCCTTGGGTACAAACCAGCTCTTTGAGTACACATCTCCCCAATCTTGTGTGAATGAGGAGACGTTGCAGTGCCTGGCCCTGGGGGTTGTGGGAGGTCTTTTGTGTGCAAGAATCTTCTAACCCGGTAATGTTCTATTTCCACAGTTATCACTAAAGACTCTCCGGTGAGAAAATGGATGAAGCCAAGGTCCTGGGGTTCCAGATTGCAGGAGAGGAACCCCCAGGAGAACATGTCAGATCCCTCCATGCTCAAACTGTATTTCAGTTGATATACAGGCTCTGAATTGAGCATTTATTTATTGTAAATAAGTGGTTTGCACGGGCTTTAAAGCAGTATTTTAGTTTATTTGAGTAATATTTTTAAAAAACACCCACCATTTTTCCATTTTTTACAATGCATCTTGGCATTCATCTGTCAGTACAGATAGAACCCTGTCCCTCCCTATAACACCCACTCCGTGACTGTGAATATGCTTGCAGGCTGGCCCTTCCTAGATTCCAAACTGTTTTTAGAGAGTCCATAGTTTGCAAGTAGTCCCCAAGTCATAAGTATTCACAATGGCTTCTTATTGGCATGATTTTACATTCTCATCGCACCAACTGCAAAGTCAAACCAAACAATGCCTTATAAATGATGCAGCTCAGAGGAAGTAGTGTGTCCCCCACACCCAGACTATGCCACACAGCCTCCAGGGAAGGAGACGCCATGTCTCACTTCTATTTTGCAGTACAGGGATTTTTTTTTTTTTTTTTTTTTTTTTGGCTGCTTAATGTAAATATATCACAAAGTAAAGGCATGAGTGGGCTTGGCCCCTCTGACGCCGACCACAGGGCCCCTTTTGTAACTGAAGAATGCTACAAGTAGCCAATGCTCCTACTGTTTACAGTGTCCCTAGTGCCCAAGTCTCCATTACTTTCCTCCTGTCCCCTCCAAGTTCCCAGCCCCATCCTGGTAGCCAGGGTAAGGTCAGTATGATGAAATTTCGGTATTTTTTTTTTCCCCTACAGGTTAAAAACAGACACTACTCATTGTTATAGTAAACTACTAATTCTGTCTCAGAGGTTTCCCCTTCCACCCCCCACTTCAAATGCAGAATTTGCATGGAAATACAACATGAAAAATTGTAGAATGAAATGTCTCTTGAAATAATGTCTGGTGCCTCGCCCTCACTTAAGAAACTTTGGAATCACCCATTATGCATTAGCTCCCTTCTGAGCGAAAAGAACCCCACTGGCCTGCCAGCACCCATTCTTTCCCTTGTGGTGGGCATCTCCCTGCAGGACAGATGTGTGTGCAAGGCCTGCCTGCAGGGGGAAAGGATCGAGCCAGGCTGGGACGGCTCTTCACACTCATTTCTCTTGCCAGCAAGGGCTTAGAAGTGTGTCTTTGCTTGCTGCCTGACCTCAGGTGCTCACCATCGTTGGTGAGGGGAAGGCTGGGACAGAGGAAGGAGAGAAAATAGAAGGAAACAGACTGATCCCCGGGTTGTGCTCAAAATAACTGCCCATTAAAGAAAATCAGGGAGAGAGGGGAGGGAGACCAGTGGAAAATAAGTTTGCTGTGTAGCAGCTCACTTGCGCATTCACACCTGAAGGATATCATGTCCAGAGTAAGCCATCCAGAAAGGGAGGAGGTTAGGATGGTTTAGGCACACATGACTGCATACACCTAGCGGTTGTCTGGAGTAAAGACTCAGCTGGCTTCCTACATCAGTGGTGTGCTTTCTCATTCCAGACAGAAGCAAGTGAATCAGGGTCAAGTTCTCTTCTCTGGGGAATGAATCCAGCCAAACTTTAACAGCTGCATCCACAGGAAAGCTTTTGCAGGTCATCCATTCTGGGTGAAACTGATCTGTTTTATTGATTCTGGAAGTTTTCCAAAAGGTCAAATCTCTTTATTACAACCTTAACCACTCTACCGCCCTCACAGTCCCTGAACAAAGGCCCTTTCACCTTCAGAGTAGACTGCTTGCCCTGATGAGGTGTTTATACATTCATGTTCCATATGGCTGGGATAGACATGTAAAACTTAAAACTATTTAAGGACAGAGGGAGGAATGAGCAGAAACCAAAAATGGCAATTAGGGAGAAATCTCAGGAATCTGGCATCATGTCTCTCCCTCTCACTGAATTCACAACCCTTCGAGCTCGTGCCAGTGCACTGAGTTCCTCTGGCGGTGTAAAGGTTTAGCCCCTTGGCCATAAACTCACTCTTAGAGGCAACTGCATTGCAGAGTTCCCGCCGGCCTTGCATATTCTCACTGACACTGTGGTCTGTGACTCCCGCGATGTTTCACATGTATTTTATATTTATTGATGTCTCCTTCTGCAGATTCGTTTCTTTGTACCTAATAAACTTTAATAAGTTGGAATGCGCCCAGTCATTTCCTTGTTAAAACCCAGCAATGGTCACCGGTACCAATCTAAGCCGAACATGTTTAAGAACTAGGAGGACTTCTAAGAATGACACAGCAAAATGGGTATTTGCACAGAGCCCATGCTTGCTGTAGCTTACTGTGTAAGAAACAGGGCCTTTCTTTTTGGAACTGACTAACCTAATGGGTATTTGGAAAAATCAAGCACAAGAAAAATACTTTCTCAGATGCATTTTTTAAAAAGTAGATAATGCCATATTTATTCAGGTTTGCTTGTTTGTTTTAGAGACAGGGTCTCACTCTAGCCCAGTCTAGAGTGCAATGGCTCAATCATAGCTCACTGCAGCCTCAAACTTCTTGCATCAGTTTATATAGAATGAGCAGAACGTAATGCTTCTAGTTCTGCTAATTTGTGTTCAAATGAACCAACTTTCAGCCTAATGTGTACTTACCCACCCACTCCCTGCCCCCGACCTCTACAAATCCCTCAAAAAAGTCTCCAGTGTGAAGCAGAATCATTTTGGTCTCCATGATGTGTTTTAAGGTAGACTTTTTGGAACATAGTATGGAAGAGAAGTTTATCTGCTAAGCAAGCTGGCTCAGAACTAGTGCTTGGAAGGAAAGTCAGGAGCTGAATCTCCCTTTTGTCTCTTATGAGTTGGGGAAAGTAACAGTAACTTAACCAGCACCTCAGTTTCTTCATCCACCAGACGGGACATAAATATGTACCTGCGCATATATTGGTGGAGATTTGATGACAATAACACACAGGCAAGTCCTCAATCCTCGGATCGCAACAGAGCCCAGTAGTGGCACACCCCACACTCGGGAGCAGCCAGTTCGTACAAGCGCCATCACAAGCAGGGCTCCGCTGGCATCCATTCAGATGTCTGCTGAGCTGCTCCAAGCACACTTCACTAGCTTTGCTATTGGATAACAGAGCGAGCCGTAATTAAGATTCGCAGATGTTCCCCAAATAAATCTCATCTAGAAACTAATTTCAAAGCTAGTTACTACACACTTTGCATCAGAATTAGTTCAGGGGCTGACTTGTTTCATCAGCCTTCTTACTGGCGGGAGGTGCAGACAGATAAGCTGTTTAATGACAAAAGGGCCAGTGGGGTGGGAAAGCGAGAGCCCAAGGTAATATACGAAGTGGAGGATCAACTTCAAAGTCACATTGACTGTGGGGAGTGGAGAAGTAGCTGTAACTTTAGGCACCCCTTGTGGAGTAAAGTATGGGAGAATGGACTCCAGAAGCAAGTCCCAACTTCTCAGACCGTGCTCTCGGAGGCTTTGGCATTCTTCATGAACCCCGTTCTGTTTAGGGGTCGACTGGTGCTCTCCCCAAAATCCATACATCCAAGCCCTAATCCCCCAGTACTTCAGAATGTGACCTTACTTAGAAATAGAGTCACTGCAGATATAGTTAGTTAAGATGAGGTCATACTGGAGCAGGGTGGGCCCTTAATCTACTATGAGTGGTGTCCTTATAAAATAGGAAAATTTGGACACAGGCATAGGGAGAATGCCGCATAGAGATGACAGCAGAAAGCAGGATGATGCTTCTACAGGCCGAGAAATGCTTAAGATAGCCACGGTGGGCACGGTGGCTCAAGCCTATAATCTCAGTACTTTGGGAGGCAGAGGCGAGGGGATTGCCTGAGTCCGCGGGGTTGAGACCAACCTAGGCAACATGGTGAGACCTCATCTCTACAATAAATCACAAAATTAGCCAGGCGTGGCAGCACGTGCCTATAGTTCTAGCTACTTGGAAGGCTGAGGTGGAAGGATCGCCTGAGCCCGGCAGGTCAAGGCTGTGGTAGCCAGGAGCGTGCCACTGCACTCCAGCCTGGGCGACAGAGTAAGACTCCAACTCAAAAAAAAAAAAAAAAAGCAAGGAGCCCTAGCAGACATGTTCTGTCACCACGGAGTGTATTCTGTCATGAAATGAGAGCTGGGAATAAAATTTAAAGAATTGTTAGTTCTTTGTCATATAAATAGGACCATCATCTACTCTGACCTTGACACAGGTCACTCGTTGCAGGTGACTGAGTCCCTTTTTCACAAACAAGAACTTCAGTTGCACTTAGCCTGTCATAGCAGAGACAATCTGGAAGCTGTCTGGCATTTCTGGATCATGAGGGTGGAAAGTTGGCCTTTTCTCAGCGGCATTCTCTCCTGCTGTGGAGCTGCTAACGCTTTAGCATTGACACGCTTGGCATAGAGCACTAGCCATTCTCATGACCTAGACTGTGGATCTTAGAATGGTTTCCATTTCTTTTCTTTTAATTGTGGTGATATGCACATAACGTAAAATTTACCATCTTCACCCACTGTTAGTGTTCAGTTCAATACTGCTGAGTACATTCGTGTGGTCGTACAACGTCCATCTCCATAACTCACCTTACAACACTGAAACTCTAAACTCATTAAACAATAACTCCATATTTCTTCCTCTCCCTGGCCCCCTGGCAACTGCCTTCTACTTTCTGTCTCTATGGATTTGACTAGTCCAGGTACCTCATACAAATGGAATCATATATTTGTTCTTTTGTGACTGGTTTATTTCACCAAGCACAATGTCTTCATGAGTCATCCATATTGGAGCATGTGTCAGAATTTCCTTCCCTTTTGTAAGGCTGAATAATATTCCATTGTATGGATATATACCACATTTTGTTTATCCACTCATTCATCTATGGATATTGGAGTTGCTTCCACGTTTAATATAAATACGGGTATATAAATACCTCCTCCAGACCCTGCTTTCAATTCTCTTGTGTATATACCTAGAAGTGGGATTGCCAGATCATGCGGTGGTTTTATTTTTAATATTTTTTAGCAACCTCCTTACTGTTTTCCACAATGGATGCACCATTTTACATTCCCATCAACAATGCATAAGAGTTCCAGTTTCTCCACATACTCACCAACACTTGTTATTTTCTGTTGTTTATGGTAGCTATCCTGATGGGTGTGAGGTGGCACTTCAAAGGTCCTTTGTGTTTATTATTAAAGAGCAAATTTATCCAAAGAACAGTATATAGTGGAGGAAACTGCTGAACTAAGTTTTCCAAAGATTGCAGTCAAAAAATTCCCTTTCATACATTTTCTATGCTGTGTCTGATTCCCACATCTATTCATGAAATGCAAGACAGAGGAGGCCACTGGATGTTAATTTCAGTATTTTTTTATTGTATGCTTGATGCATTTAGAGACAACTCCAAGGGCAAGCACTGGATAGGGACGTTATCTGGTTTGTAGATATTTGTACAAAAGACTGTTAAGACTACATGGTCAGTTCCCACTGCAGGAAACAGAAAGATTTTTCTCTTTCTAGTATTCTCTACCAATAGCGTTTTCCATCTAGCACATTAAAATTCTCACATGGTTGCAAACATACATATTGGTTCCCACGAGAAATCTGCAGTTGACATTTGGGGATGTTTGCAGTCCATCAGATAAGCACATTTTAACAGAAACCACAGGAGGGAAGCTGGGACTTGGGACTGTGTGGAATGAGATGCCATAGCTATGGGGAAGCACAAGGGAGTGACGGCATTGCACGTGACCTGTCGCTCCTGGCCCTCCCTGGGAGCATGGCCCGTGAGGTGGGCTCCCAACTCTTTCTCCTCCACATGCTTCCTGCCTAAGGCTGAGAGCTCAGGTGAAGACCTTCCCCAATAAACAGCAGATAGCTCTTCAGTCATGCAGTTAGTGGCTTCATGACAGACACACTGGCCCCACCTGGCTTCCCCACTGGGCCAGCCAGAGATGTACAACACCTGTACCAATGTGGGATGACATCAGCTAGAAAGCAAAGTAATTTGCCTGGTTGATAATTCTTTTTGATACCTAATGACTCACCCAGTAGTAAAGGAACACCATTGCTAAAATCTAATAGGTATACGCCTGCTCTGTTAGTTTTTAAGAAAAACTCCTTCCAATAACACTGGGTCTTATGTTATTGGGCACTAAGGAATATTCACAATTTTGGTTATATCCTTATTCCACCTAGTTTCAAACTACCTCTGAGAATGAAAGTCTAACATTTCTGCTTTGCTAATTTACTTTTACTGGAGCCTCTGCCCTTGAATAGGAGGGCTGGTCTTCACCTATGGTAAATCCCATCTATTACACAAAACTAGCTAGCTTATGTTTGGCTATGGGGTATGGAGGTGGGGACAGAGTCTGTCCTTTATGGCCATGGCTTCTTTCTACACAAAGCACGCACGGTCCCCTCCCCCAGTCTGGGCAGATACACACATGGTATTCTAGGAAGCTATTTATACACTGTGACCGTTAAACACATTATTTTCATATTTCATCTTGAATATTCATTTCCCCCATATTGTCTTCAGAAAAGCCATCCCTGGTCAAGAAGTTATCCACGTAATAAGCATTTTTTCCAAAGCACAATCTGTCAGGAGCACTTAAAGACAAACATTTCCCCCCGTAACAGCCTGCGCAAAATCCAACAACATATTTCCAGCTGTTAATATATGTAAATAAGTCACTAAAAAAATGAGTACAGCCGGGTTCGGTGGCTCAGCCTGTAATCCCGCACCTCTGGGAGGCTGAGGTGAGTGGATTGCCTGAGACCACGGGTTCGAGACCCGCCTGGGCAGGCGAGACCTCACTCTACAATAAATCAAAAAATTAGCCGGGCGTGGTAGCTCCTGTCTGTAGTTCCAGCTACTCGGAAGGCCGAGGCGGAAGGATCGCCGGAGCCCAGCGGGTCGAGGCTGCGGTGGCCGGGAGCGGCCACTGCACTCCAGTCTGGGTGACGGAGTGAGACTCCAACTCAAAAAAAAAAAAAAAATGAGTACAGCCACATGAGCAGAATTCTTTGCTCTCTTCTTGTCTTTGATTTTGACCGTGCGTGGACCACCTCCGCGCCCGATGGGAGCAAGGAAGCCCAGCTTAACTTCGCCAGGCTGTGCCTCAGAGGCCTGCCATGCCCTCTAGCGGTAGGACAGGGACATCACAATTGCGGTATACAGTATTAGCCAAGACGACCCTCGATTAGGGTTGCCTTTCTCCAAGATCCTCCACTAAGGTCAGTGCACCCTAAAAGTAGCAGCTTGTGTTTCCCACTGCAAACTGACATAAAGTAGCTTATCTGTGGCCTTTGTCTGGCCCATAGTAATAAAAGTAATTTATTCTCACCAGACTTCTTTTCATCAATTCTTCAATCACCTTCGTTGCCTCAGACATGTCAACTGAGGAAATGTTTCCATGAAAGGGGAAGGTGAAGGTGAAACTATGCAGTGAAATTATAGAGTGACTTTCTGCATCGCCTTGTTTTAAACAACCACTTGGGAGGCGGGCTGGGCCGGGGATAGGTACCTCCCTTACCCTTGAACCTCACCTTTCTCCCCTTAGCAGCTAGATAGATGCTTTCAAAATGGCTGCTCCACCTCAGAGGAGGCCCTAAACTCACCAACTGTGAAGGCACAGGCCAAACCTGCACGAGGCTCTTAGCAATTGCTAGCCACCATTATTGGTTGCCATTAACGTTGTCAGCTGAAATATTCTTCCCATCTCTCACCATTTGTAGTTAATGATTTTACATACAGAATTTACAAAACTGTTGAGCAAAAAGCTCACGGCTCTCCCATACTCCTGTTCCTGGAGAGTTGGCAGAGAAAAAGATTTGTTCTGATCAACCCTCTGGCCCTCAGTGTTCTCATCTGTGTAATGAAGGGCTGGTTCCCTTCCAGCGCTCACGGACTGTGATATTGTTGCTGAGATGCCCACTTCAGGAGTGGCTGAGAGTTCCCATAGATGGAGGTAACGTCCTCAACACCACCCACCACCTGCCCTCTTCAGCTACCTGTCTGAATGGAGGCAGCTCCTGCAACATTGGAGGAACGAGGGATGAGGGGAGGGCCCAGGGATGTCGGCTGCTTCATATACGGATTTGTGGCCTATAGTGCCCTGGGCAGGAAGGGTGGGTGTTAGACTGTTACCCTGCAGAGAAATGTGTCTGTATCCATCTGTCGCCTTCTTGCCCTCTGTCTTCCCAACGCTAAGCCCATCTGGTCTTCCTCGCACGCTTTTCTACGCTCAGGTGGTAAGTCAAATCCTTTCAAGAGAACATGACACTGGAAACAAACCAGTTTAATTAAAGTCTCTCTGCTGAGATAATGTAGTAACTGCTTGGATTCCGGCGACTCCAACTGGAATCTAAATAGTCAAGAGTTCCTCCTTTTTCTTCCCTCATTAGCTGAGAAATTTGCTGCTTTGTGGGGTGGAACTATGCCATAGGGGCCATTCAGTTAATCCTAGACTGAATATCGGTAACAAGACATGGGATCATTTCTGCACAAGGCCACATCCCTGTGGCGGGTGTGCTGCTTTGTAGGGAGAGCTACCAGGCCTCGTGGGCGATCCACGCAATGATTCAGGGAAGTCACCAGCATGGCTGTCTCTGAATCTCTGAAGTGGGTAGGTTCCAGCCAACACAGATGGCCAGCTCTCCTGCAAGCAAGCCATTACACGTAAGCACACTGCATGGAAGACGAGTTCTTCAGGAGCACGGGAATTGGGAAGGGCCCAGGCCTGGAGGGGAGCCCCTTTTATTCCTTCCCATCGATTCTGTCCCCCAGAAGACACCCTTGAGGCACTGTGCACTATCGACGTGTGCTCAGATTCAGGGAGGCCAGGGAGCTACTCCCTCAACTGCACACACAAGAGCACTGTGTGTGTAGACAAACGCCTTTTGTTAACTTGAAAGAAACCACTGCTGAAAGACTAAGACTTCAAAAGAGTTCGCTTTTCCCGCCAACTCAGCACTGTGGAGCCTGCCTTTCAAGGCTTGATGAACTCTAGTCCTCCTGTAAAAGGCTCATGTGTCCATTGTCACTGAAATACAATGATAGCAGCTTAAAGTCCACAATTAGTCACACAACCAAACAACAGGCAAATGGGATACACGTTACACTGCAAAGGAAGGGCGCCTACATTGCAGGAGGAGGCGGCGTCTGGCGGTTCAAGGCAGAACACAAGGTAACGGCTCGATGTGGCTTCAGAAAAGGAGGCCACATCTCAGCTTTCTCATTTTACTCAAATGGGAGAGTGGTTGGTTTTGCTGGTAACTTAGTAAGGTGGGAAGTTTTAAATAAGAAGGGGAAAGGGGAGGCTTACTTCACTTAAAGAACTTAATCTCCGTATCAACACAGTCATAGAAAAGGTCCCCCACTTCGGCAGGGTCCAGGGGGTCAGGGCTGGTCAGGATTTCTTCCATGGCTTCCAGACCTTGCTTCTCCAGTTCCAGCATGGTCTTCCTCAGCTTGTGACCTTGCTCCTGAGGGAGGACACAGCTGCTTTACATCTCAGCAAAACAGTGGGGGTCCCTGCAGTGGCCCCCTGAAAGCCCCTGGAGGTCCTGCTGGCTTCCTGCCTGAAGTCCCATTCTTCCCTTCCAAGCTGTGTCCCACACTCCTGCTGGCGGGAATGTTCCAGAATGCCGATGTGGCTATGCCACTGCCCTGCTTAGAACCCTTGCACAGCTTCCTGCTGCCTTCAGGATAAAGCCCAGACCCCTGAGTGACCTTCAGAGAAGGCCCTTCTGACACATGAGATGCTCGCTTGCCTGACCTCTTGTGCTGCATCTGCCTTCTCTTCAGCCAGACTAGGTTAACTGAGACCCACCAACCCACGATGCTCTTTCTCGCCACAGCACAGGTAACCCCGCCCTCTGGGGGCCCTGCCTTCCCTCAACACTTGGTCCCCTGTGCCCATCTTCAGCTCCTTGGAAAGCCTTTCCCCTGGACCCCCAACAGGGCAAGGCCTTTCCTTCTGCCATGGTCATTGTCTTCCGCCTGGTGATGGCTTGTCCACAAGCTGTGTCCCCCATTAGACCATGATCTCCTGGGGAGCAGGAATCCAGTTTATCTCTGCCCTCCAATGTCTCTGTCACTGTGACAGGGACACAGTGGATGCTCTCAAAAGTTGTTTGTTCAATGAATAATAGATACATGAATCATTGAATAAACACAAGTATGTCTATCCTCGTTCACTCATTTTCTGAGAGGGTGAGATTGCTTCTTCCAAGGGACTCATTTACAGGGGATGACAGAGAAAAACTTTCATTTGCCCAATTAGTTCTAGAACTGAGAAGCTGTTCTCGCCACCCACCCTTCTTCATGCAGCGCCACTGAACTCAATCAGAGAATCATTTCTAAATTTTAAAACCCAGCAACCAGCTGGGCTCGATGGCTCAGGCTGTAATCCCAGCACTTTGGGAGGCCGAGGTGAGTGGACTGCCTGAGCCTATGGGTTCAAGACCAGCCTGGGCAACTTGACAAGACCTGGTCTCTACAATAAATTTAAAAAATTAGCCGGATGTGGTAGCACACGCCTGTAGTTCCAGTTACTTGGAAAGTTGAGGCGGAAGGATCACCAGAACCCAGCAGATCGACACTGGGGTGGCCGTGAGCATGCCATTGCACTCCAGCCCGGGCGATGAGTGAGACTCCAACTCAAAAAAAACAAAAACAAAAAACCAGCAACCTCAGCAGTCTCATCTCTCTGAACACACACAGCCTTGTCTAGTCTTCATTCTAACAGCCAATATCCACAAAACCAAACACCACAGAGTGACGGTCTCATCTATGTGGGACTTCTGGTCAACCGCAGCGGGACTGGCAGTAGTGGGAATCTGCCAGGGGTGGGGGGGATACCTCATGGACAAGGGCACCTGCATAATGAACCTTTGTATGCCTAACCCTGAATCATACCCCACATCTTTAAAACAAAAACTTTAAAACAAACAAACGAAAAAGAAAAACAGCACTATCAGGAGGTCATCTGGATGGCCCTAGGGGAAACCCAATGCAGTACAGCACCAGCACTCCTGGTTCCGGAAGAAGCTTGGGAGTAGGACAGGTGTAAAAATACCTGTGACTTTGACATGCCCAGTGGTCATCTCTGTGGAACGGAAGAGCAAGTTTTACAAAAGTAAAACTGCCCTTCTCGGAGATACTTTCTGAATTCCTTTAAATGTATTGCTTCCACTGCCCTTTTCACATCCTTTTTATAGAATCCATCACGCCAAATAGAAGAAAATAAACTTACACTGTCCACACGAAATGTATGCACCAATTTACATAAAAGGTCTCTCTTTTCTTCAGGACAAACTGGACCTATATAAAGCTGTTACATAAGAGCTTGGGGGAGCAGATGAGTGTCTAACAACTACACTCCCTTCTCTTCTCTTCATAAAATATAGGCGTGGATTCTATGTGAAAGCTCATCACAAACAGCTGTTTAGGCCCACTGGGTGTTGGGGAACATGTACTGGCTGGTGTTCTTGTTTGAATTGATGTCTTATAACTTTATTAACCAAAAGTTTGGAGTTGTACTTTGAATAATAACTTTTAAAAAACTGGAGAATCTTTTTTTAACTGTATTTGTGGCTGAGTGCAGTGGTTCACACCTGTAATCCCAGCACTTCGGGAGGCCAAGGCGAGAGGATTGCTTGAGCCCAGGAGTTCAAGACCAGCCCAGGCAACATAGCAAGAACTCGTCTCTACAACATCAAAAAATTGGCCAGGCATGGTGGTGTGCACCTGTCAATCCAGCCATTCGGTGGGCTGAGTCAGGAGGATCACCTGAGCCCAGGAGGTCGCAGCTGCGGTGAGCCATGATTGTGCCATGGCACTCCAGCCTAGTTGACAGAATGAGATTCTGACTCACCTCATCAACAAGGGTATCTGCATAATGAACATTTGCATGCCTAACCCTGAATTGTTCCCCACATCTTTAAAACAAAAATAAAATAATAATAAACAAATAAATAAATAAACAAACTATATTTGTACTATGGTAAAACATATATAACGAAATTTATCACTTTAACCATTTTTCAGTGTATGGTTCAGTGGCATTAAGTACATTCACAGTGTTGTGCAGCCATCACCATCATCCTCCATGTTTAGAACTTTTTTGAAGAATTTCTTTTTTGAAATGACATATGACTGCATCTTTAAATAAAATGTTGTCATCAAATATAACTTTTTATCCCCAAAAGCTTCAAAAGAACTTGAGACAGCAGATACACAGTTACCACAACTGGAAGTGCATGTTTCTGTTATACCTGAGTCAACAATCAATGCAAGCAAGGTACTGTTGCCTGCTGAGTTCCAGGATCCCATCAGCAGGGGCGGTTTTGTTTTAGTTGATTGCAAGCCACCTGGGTAGCAAAATGAACACCAGCCTTCTAGGAAGGGCCTTGGGAGCCTGGCGTTCTGGGAGGAGAGGGATGAGCCTGTCACCTCTGTCCCTGCCTCCTTTCTTGTCCGCCCACTGGGGGCCCACACCCACACTCACCTGGTCATTCTCAATGACAGCACGTGCCCACTCGTGGGCCTTGTACAGCTCGTGCCGGCGGTCTGGTTTCTCCTGGAACCGAGGCTCCTTTTTGGCAGGGTCCTCGTCCCCAAAACAGGGAGACTGTGTTTTGGGAACAAGTTTTACGTCATCAACAAAGATGAAAGGCTTGAATATGGACCTGAAAAGAAAGGAGAGGCACTGTAGCCAGACAGAGCTTGGAGCTTGGGGACATCCAGAGACCATCCTTTTATTCAGCAAACATTTCCTGAGGCAACCTAAGGTGGTGCGTGGTGAGTGAATTGTGCATGACACACAACTGCATGCTTTGGTAGCTCTTTTAGTCAAACCAGCAAACAAACAAGCTGCAAATGCTTCTGTTTACAGTGAGGAGTTATCAAAACAGACTTTCTTTGTTCTGGGAAGACCATTGAGAGGACTCTGTTAGCTGTAAAAAGTAAGGCAGATAGTCAGGCAGTGTTCCCAGAATGGGTGCTATGAGCCCTCTAACAGAGCTGAGAAGCTCGCCCCCTTTTCTACCATGGCTTGCTGGGAAGAGGCCTCCTGGGAAGGAGTTTTCTGGGTTTTGGCTGGTTTTTGTTTTTTATTTTTGAGGCTCTACCTTATTGAAAAATCTTTGGACTATCTCTGACAGACTCAAGGTGGGAACAGAAAAGACCCCATAGGCCCCAGAGGGGACACACCACACAGAAGTCTAGCTATGTGAGAGAACCAGTGCTAGTGCTGGGCACGGCAGGTGGCTAATGCCACCGGCTCTTTTTGATTTTTGGCAGGATGGATGTGTCTTAGTAAAATGGCCATGCATATGTGTGCATGTGTGTGCATGCCCAGGACACATCGCCACACACACACAAAGAGCCATGCATACATACAGCTGTGGCCTAGGATCCCAGGTTGACAGGGTGATGGGCAACTGCAGCTGACTGTGATGCTGGGGACAGGGCCTTATCCTCCCGGCTCCTCACTCAGGGACAAAAGTACTGCACCAGAGGGTACTCCCAGTAGGCATGGACACGTCTGGGCCCTGAGGGTGGCCTGTTTTCAGCCACACCATGGGGTAGCACGTGCAATAACAGCAGGAGAGGATGAGCCCCTCCACACACACCGTGGGGTCTTATAACCCCATGAGTTACAGACCAGATTTGTCAGATTTGGACCCTTCTCTCCTCTCAACAGGTGTACCTGGCCTACTCAAGGTGCCCGAAGTGGGTGGGTTACATGTGAGCTGGGATGAGGATTCCCCCAGTCCTGAGGTATTGGGGGCTTAAGGCAGCCAGGGAAGTTTGCTAGAGTGCCACACAGGGTTTCTCCTGCGTGCCAAGATCTGAAAGGACTGGGAGCCAATAGCCCTTCCTTCCCACATTGTGTCCTTGGACTTGGAACATCAACATCACCTACTGAACCTCAGGCCCACCCATTTTGGTGAATCAGAATCTGCATTTTTAAGGCCTGGCACCATGACTCACTCCTGTAATCCCAGTGTTTTGGGAGGCCAAGGAAAGAGATTGTTTGATCCTGGGAGTTCAAAACTAGGTTGGGCTTTGTAGAGATCTTGTCTCTGGGCTTTTGTAAATACCTTGACTCTACAAAAAAATCAAAAAAGTTAGCTGGACATGGTGGCACACGCCTCTAGTCCCAGCTACTCAGGAGGCTGAGATAGAAGGACTGCTTGAGCCTAGGAGGTCAAGGCTGCAGTGAGCTGTAACTGTGCCACTGCACTCCAGCTTGGGTGACAAAGCAAGATCCTAACTAAAAAAAAATTGTTTTTTGGGTTTTGCTTTTTTTTTTGGCTACAAGCAGGGAAAAGTGCTTTAATAATCTGCATTTTTAACAGAATTCCAGGGGATTCATAACATACTTCCTGAGGTTACCATGGGAAAGAGTATGGTAATACCATGGGTATTTCCTTTTGAAAGTCAAGTGGCAAGCTCTAAAGACCCGCCAGGCCAGTTTTGTTTAAAAAAAAAGCCAAATGGTCAGAGACTGACAGCTCTCATGGAAATGCGAAAGAAAGAGTACCTAATTCACAACTGTTCTCCTTATCAGTTTACAGCCCATGCTGGCCCTGCATTTCCTGGAGACCATTTGTTCTTTGAAAGATCTGATTTTTCTGAACACAACCTTGTAAATTCCAAAGAAAATGTGTAATCACTCAACACGACCCCCTCCTTTACAAACAAAGGTATAAGACTACTCTTCTCCCATTCTGGGGGGCTTGACCTGGAAGCATTATTCCATAATAGTAATAAAGTTGCCACTTCCTGTAATAGTCTCGGTGTCACGACCTCTCTATCTTCCCTACAGGTGGCACTAGCCAAGGACAAGAGTCAGGTACTCAGTTGTTCTCTGCAGGTGATCCAAATATAATTGAAAACTGGTCCCATCCTCGGCCTGATCTACCGGGAAGCACAAGGCATGTCAGGCTGTGCCCACCTGTGCAAGGTCAAGCCCTACCAAGGACCTTCCCTCCGCAGCCATCATCAAAGGAAGTCCTCTCAAAGACAGAGGGGAGCTACCCTCATACAGAAAGAACACATACTTCCACCCCTACAGACTCTTGAAAACAGATCACTCCCTTTGCTTTCTATTGAATGTTGAATGAATGACTGTTGAATGTGAAAAAGGAATTAATGCAAAACCTAAAACTGTCTAAACCAATTTTGACAACATGAAGTTAGAGTCTCTAATTGGTGAGTCAGCTGGTTCTGCAAAAAGGTTGCAGATTGAGGCTCACTAAAAGAGGGTGACTGAGAGGGGGGAGACGAGGGAGAGGAGAGAGCTGGTAGACAACCTGAACTAGCTGCCTCTGGGCTAGCCCTAGGCTCTGGCAACGCAGCTGCCTCACAGCAGGCAAGCATCCTATCCTTTGGGGCCAGACAACTCTGAGAGTTTCCTGAAAAGTCAGTGGACACTGTACCACTGTCAGCCTCTATGGAGGGCACAGAGACCCTTTGGTGGCAGACAGGCCCGAGCTCCTGTTCTACAGCCCAGGGTCTGCTTAGTTCATACTTTCTCCACTCCAGGGCTCTGCAGAGGGCAGAGTTGGGCAGAGCTGTGGCTCCCACCTGGGAGGTGGAGCATCACAGTGGGGCTGGTGCAGGCTCAACACCTGGTAGCCAAGGGAACTGCAGTCTCCTGGGGCTGAGTCTGAGCTGGGCTAGAGAGGGGTCCTTCCCCATTTTCCATCCACCCCCAGGCCCCATGTGATGCTACTTCATACAATGGCCACACTACACTCCTCTTCTCTGCCACTCAGAAGCCCCCCGTGGGAGTGACACCTTCATCAGAAAACCACCACTGAGCCAGGCTCGGTGGCTCAGCCTGTAATCCCAGAGCTTTGGGAGGCTGAGGTGAGTGGATTACCTGAGCCCGCGGGTTGGAGAACCACCTGGGCAACTGACCTCATCTCTACAATAAATCAAAAATTAGCCGGGCATGGTAGTGAGTGCCTGTAATTCCAGCTACCTGGAAAGCTGAGGTGGAAGGATCGCCGGAGCCCAGCAGGTAGAGGCTGCGGTGGCCGGGAGCGGCCACTGCACTCCAGTCTGGGTGACAGAGTGAAACTCCAACTCAAAAAAAAAAAGAAAAAGAAAACTACCCCTGAATTCTTAAAACCTCAGAGCTTTTCTTACTATGTGTCTCAGGGCTCTTCTGACACATGACTCCATGGAGAAGACCATGTCAGGGAGCAGAAGAGGACAGCATGGCAGCACCCATGGGGCCGAGCTGCCTTCTGACAGTGGGGGCAGAGAATTGGGCTGGAACTTGAATGGGGGACATGAATCCCATCTCTGCCTCTGACCACTCGAGGGCCTGTCATTTTCCCTCTCATCTGGCTCTCATCTGGACTAGAGTGAACTCTATTGCCCCTTCCAGCTTCTAAAACCAGTTTATTTCTAACTCCGTGTCATGAGGCTTGTGAAGCTGTGACTCCAACTTCAGTATTCAGTAAGCTCATGCTAACCACAGCCGTGGTCTTCTGCAACCAATGTCCAGGATAAAAAGTCAGAACACTCTATTTGATGTAACTTCAAACTCGCTCTACACTCACGGGCATGTACAGGTTAGTTTAATCAATGAGGGTGTCTGGTGGCTTTTCTAAGATAAGAGGTACCATTTATTTATCCTTCTCATCTATCAGTTTTATTTTTTAAAAAGAATAAAAAATAACTATGATGAAGTTCCCAAAATATTCTAAAGTAGTCAAAGCTCTCCAATGATTTTTTCTTTTTTTTGAGTTGGAGTCTCACTCTGTCACCCAGACTGGAGTGCAGTGGCCGGCCTCGACCTACTGGGCTCTGGTGATCCTTCCACCTCAGCCTTCCAAGCAGCTGGAACTACAGGCGCACACTACCACGCCTGGTTAGTTTTTGATTTATTGTAGAGATGAGGTCTCGCCAAGTTGCCCAGGCGGGTTTCGAACCCTCGGGCTCAGGGAATCCACTCACCTCAGCCTCACAAAGTGCGGGATTACAGGCTGAGCCACGAAGCCCAGCTCCAAAGATTTTTTTCAAACTTTGTAAGGAAGTCAGCATATTCAACTGATGAAAATATGAAGTAAACTTGACAAAGTGGTTAAAGGGAGGTTTTTTTTTGGAGACTGAGTAAATTGTATAAATAATAACTAAGAATATCTAAAAATAATTCTTTAATAACTATTAATAAAAACTGTTGCTGATAAACTGCAATAACACTAATACTCATTTAAATCAGGATGTGGGAATTATCTATAATTCATGTTTGATTATTTGTGTCTATGCAGTCAGGAAAAGGGAAGTGGATAACTCAGTGGTTCCCAAGCATTCTGATTTCTTGCCAGTCCTTTCTGAAAATCACATTTAAAATTCCACATAGATAAGGAGATACACTGACATTTTCCCACAGGTGACCCACAGATGGTAGCATCTTAAATGTTACTTGAATGAATGAACATCAATTAACAGACACACCCACTGTGCCTAACCCACCTGAGCAGAACAAGGTCCACTTTATCACATGCATGGGATGTCCCTGAATATCCTGTGGAGGGCTCTGATGCAGGCCCAGAAAGCAAACTCTGTTTCTGTCTTCGGTGCTGACTCTCAAACAACTTTCAGAAAGGTCGCCTCAGCCATCCATGGTGCAGTGTGACATGACAGACCCAAAAGGGGAAAGCATTTC